TTCCAATCCCTCAATACCTTAAGCAACTCAATATTATACAAGCCATGAAAGATGCTGGCACCATCAAGGTTAATTCTCTCTTATGTTTGTCAGAGACATGTTATATTAGCATAACTAATATTATTAAGCATCCAATCTAAAATAAACTAGAGAAGATGACAGGAGACGAACAAATTCAAGTTTTAATTAGTATCTTATGTTTAAGTGTACAATTTCAATCTAAAAACAACTGTTAATAGATGAAAATTTAGGAGTAACTAACTATAATAAGATTATAAAAAAATCCCAAATTTAAGGATGCGTGTGTAATACCATTTTAATAAATATGATGATCTGCGGTCGACCTCACACTTTTATACTTACAGAGGTTTGTTCCTTCTGAGTATGGAAACGAAGCAGACAGAGTGACAGCTCTTCCACCTTTCGAGGCAATGCTCTCCAACAAAAGAAAGATCCGAAGAGCCACGGAGGCGGCTGGACTCTCTTACACTTTCGTCTCCGCCAACTCATTTGCAGTGTACTTTGTTAACTATCTGCTCCATCCAGAGGAGAAAGACCACCAAGTCATCATATATGGAAGTGGAGAAGCAAAAGGTATTTATATATGTCAGGGCTTTACAAAACTCAGATTTTTTTTTTATTAGATAACATGGTTGTCTGTATTTTTCCCTTATTAATTCCGAAGTACTTACAAAATGTTATGTCCACAAATACTAAAATAAAATATAATGTTTAAAATGTTAAGCATAACCCATTAAAATTATTTATACTCAAATGACCTTGCAAAATTAAGATATTTTGATAGATATATATATATATATATGTACATGTATTTCAGGAAAGAATTGAAGTTGACTCGTTTCCATATATACATTCAATATTTTGATGCAGCCGTACTAAATTATGAGGAAGATGTAGCAACTTACATAGTCATGGCTGCTATAGATCCGAGAGCAGCCAACCGCCTTGTTATCATAAGGCCTCCGCACAATGTTGTATCTCAACTGGATTTGATTTCTTCTTGGGAGAAAAAAACTGGGAGAAACATCAAAAGAGTTCATGTTCCTGAGGAGGAAATCATAAAGCAAACTGAGAGTAAGTTAAAAACAAGGATTATTAATTAATCATTAAATGCTGATGTCTTGTGGCATGTATAAGAAATATTGTGTATTTTTTCATTAATTGTAGCATTGCCTAGCCCGGAGAACGTGCCACCGGCGATCCTGCACAGCATATTTGTGAAAGGCGATCAGACGAGCTTTGGGCTAACTGAGCAAGATTTGGAGGCATCGGAGTTATACCCTGAGTACAAGTATACTTCAGTTGATAGGCTTCTTGATGTGTTCTTGGTTAAGCCTCCTAGGAAACCTAAGCTTGCATCCTTCGGAGCGTAGAAAACTATAATGTTATTTTACCGGTCAAATACTTACAATAAAGACCGTCATGTTGTTGGATCGTAGCATGTACCAAATGGAAGCGAGAATCACAATCCAGTAATAAAATTATATATCTTGTGCACTAATTAATGGTGTCATTTGGGAATTGCACAAGGCCATGAAATGGCCTGTTTTGGGTTTGAAGTCGGTCTCCAGATTAATTTCTGCGCACTATGGGTATATTTCCGCGATTATTTCATTAGGTATTGACTTATATAATTTTTATTTGATAGATGAATTGAACTTGAGCTTTATTTTTCTGAGTTCAAACTTAAGTTCTTTATTGAAGTGTTGAATTCAAAACTTAAACATTTTTTATATTTTATTTAATTTATTTATATTTTTATTTATTAATAGATCTAGTTATTGTCAAATATCTATTTCATAAGTCGAAATTCAAGAAAAATATCTAATCCCCTCGAGAAAATAATGATTCCATTGTTGATTGACACAAAGAAAAATTGCCTGATATGGATATATATCAAACTTTCAACGATTAAAAAACAATATCCCGTAGAAATATTTTGATCCACGATGTTGTTCAGTTGAAAAAGAAAGTTATGGGCAAAATGTAGAGTTAACTATAATTTTCTCTTTCAAACTTTTCAGAGTATTTTTGGGAAACTCCCACTTGCACGAAACTTCAAGTATAATATCTATTCACATCACACGATGTTAAAGGCACATTTCACCTTGACTTCGAGTATTTAAAAAAGTTAATTAATTTAAAA